GGGGATGGGGGGGTTTCATGCATTCAGAGTTAATTCTCATGCTAAGCATGGACAAAGTTTCAAAAAACAATTTGGATGTATGACGGAGTATTTCTGTGCCAAGAATCATACTTCTGGGTTCGTACAAGTTTCGGAGAGTTTTTTTCGATCGTGGCTCTTCATGACGTAGATGAGGGTGGAACTCCTTATATGGGCATTTCTCCCGGAAGAGCGCGCCCGTACACGCATCGACCAGAGTGAGAGCGAGATCGCGCCCATCAACGCGCTTCATCCGGTGGTAGCGCTGCACGGGACTTGTTCGGGAAGAATGTCTCCAAACCAAAGAAGTGCGTTTTTGGTTGTAAGGTAAAGATAACTTTGTTCAGCTTCCTAAAGAACCCAGCGTTATGTAAACAGTGGATGCAGTTTGTTTTTCCGGAGCAGCAACAGTTTCACAAGTGTGTGTGTTGACGAACGTTTTATAAACAAGGCCCAGTTCGACGCTGGATTTGCACATCGTTTGATACTTAAAGATGGAGCTGTCCCAGCTATAAAAGATCCCGGTCAAGATTCAGAACTGCAGACGGTAAGTGAAACGGCATCAAATGTCTGTTTTTTTGGCATTCGGCGCTCAAGTGTTCGTCACTCTTTAGCTCCGCCCACGGGGCGCCTCCAGGAGCTCGTTTTTTTCCGGAGAGAATCGTAAAGCAGTACATTTATTTTATAAATATGATAAAACTAAAGACTTTTTAGAGATATGAAGGATGCAGTACTACTCTATAGGTACTCAAGATTAACATGAGATTGGGTGAATCTGTGTGTTATGCCCCCTTTAAATTGTGTTCCGAAGACGAACTAAGCTTTTACAGGTTTGGAACGACATGGGGGTAAGTGATTAATGACAAAAATTTTCATTTTGGGGTGGAGTAACCCTTTAATTATATGTTTGAACTACTTACTCTTCCTTCAGTCTACGCTGCTGACGGTAAAACTCCTCCTTGGATAGAAAAGGTGCTGCTGGCATAGTAGAGATGGGGTTGGCTATAGGTGGCTGTGCACCAGGAGGCACCCATGGAGCGGTCACATTTGGTGGGACAGGTGGAAATACAGGTGGCGGAATGTTGTAGGGAGGGGGAGGCTGTTGTCCTGGAGGATACTGTATGGGATACTGCTGTGGAACACCACCAGGTGGCTGAGGCATAGGATGTGGTGGAGGAGGAAAAAGAGCAGGAGGCACATACACTGGAGGGACTACAGGAGGAAGGTTTTGTACTGGGGGAGGCTGTGTTCTTGGTGGTCGTTCACTAGGAGCTCTCCCTCTACTTGAGGACCTGATAGGGTAAATAAACAGGAGTGAAGAATCTGTCTCTTTTGGATGAAATTTCAATCTTTTAAGAATACACTTCAGGATACTTACGGATCCCATGCAGGACGGCTTCCAGACGGCCTTGGTCCACTAGCCCTTGGCTGCCCTAAAAAAAACAAAAAACAAAACCTTAAATATTAAGAGGTCTACAGAAAAAAAAACACCTGAAATTGTGCTGATATTATCTTACCTGATCTATGCATGTGATGCTGAGGCATATTTGGCTTCCCAATTACTGGGACATGGTATCCCTAGACAACAAATAGAAGGGAGGGGGAAAGAAAAGAAATCACTTAATTCTATTCATGGAAGTATCCATATTTAATCTTAACTACTCTTGCCCATGTGATATTGCTTTATTAATCTATGTAATTCTCTTAAATTAACAAATATAAAGAATTAAAAAATAATAATAATACCTTCGGAATGGAAGTTGTTGGGGCAGCAGTGTCTGATGAAGGCACAGATGCTGGGACCTCTGGTTCCCTGGGTGGGAAAAATGATCCCATAAGACAAATTTGAATCCAGTACCTCATGTTTTACACAACCAGTGGATCCTCTTAAGTTCTAGAAATGCTGGAAATTACTTACTTAGATGAAGGAGGGTCATCCTGCTTAGTAGAGTGCTGAGGAGAGTTCACCACAGGGCTATAGTTCGATGCTGCAGGTGCACTGCTGCTGTTTACAGTGGAGCTGCTAGAAGAAGGTGGGGTGCTGGAGGGCTGATGAGTGCTAACAGGAGATAAAGGGGCAGCAAGTGTGCTTTGGGGAGGGGTGCTATCAGCTGCTGAGCTTGGAACATTGGCCATCAGAGGGTCCTGCTGGCGTGAGGTTGCCAGTCTCATAGGTGGCCGCTGGGCAGGAGCTTGTGTTTGGGCTCCTTGTGCAGCTGCAGCTTTTCGAATCCTCTTGGTATATCCAGTTTCATTCCTAAAATTAAGAATGTCTCCAATCCAAAGAAGTGTGTTTTTGGTTGTAAGGGACAGATAACTTTGTTCAGCTTCCTAAAGAACCCAGCGTTATGTAAACAGTGGATACAGTTCCCGGGGCAGCAATGGAGTTTTACAAGTGTGTTTGATGACAAACGTTTTATAAACTAGGCCCAGTTCGACGCTGAATTTGCACATCATTTGATACTGAAAGATGGAGCGGTCCCAGCTATAAAAGATCCCAGTCATGATTCAGAACTGCAGATGTTAAGTGAAACGGCATCAAATGTCTGTTTTGTTGGTATTCGGCGCCCAAGTGCTCTTCACTCTTTAGCTCCGCCCACGGCGCGCCTCCAGGAACTCGGCTTTTTCCGGAGAGAATCGTAAAGCTGTATCTTTCTTTTATCAATATGATAAAACTAAAGACTTTTTGGAGATATGAAGGATTCAGTACTACTCTATAGGTAGTCAAGATTAACATGAGATTGGGTGAAACTCTGTGTGTTATGCCGCCTTTAACGTTTTACTGCAGAAGCCGAGAAGCGCCCTTGATGTTTTTGAACAGAAGCTGATAAGTCAATTTTAGCGAATCAGCGTTCTGTATTCAGGTCAGGTGACAAGGCTACTTTCACTTTGAAAAGATGTGCTAGCTGAGAGGAGTTTCGTCAAAGCTGACTAAAAGTGATCGAGGATGGATAATTTCAACGAACTTGATAGACCTTTGATATCTTCTTCAAGGCGAAAAAGGAACATAAAAGCTGAAACGTTTTCACGGAACCTTGCAAAAGCAGCGCATTACAAAACGGAAAAGGGAAAAGCTCTGTGTATTGCGTGTAATCACATCCATACAGTTTATGATCACAACAACAACAACGTTTGTCAGGCATCTACATTGTCATCTGAGGAGATTACAAAGATTAAACAAGTGTTTTTTTAAACTCTAAAACATGAAATGTGGAGTTATCTGCTTTTGCCAAAAAACGACTGTTGGAGTTATCTGCTTTTGCTGTAAAACAAACTTTTAATATGTAAAAAAAAAACATACTTTCAATGAACTTTAATTTTGTAAATTACCTGTATCTGTTTAAGTTATTATTACTTAATAAAAACAACCCAACTGCAGTTTGATTGATATTACTTGGAATGCGCAATAAAAAAATTTGATTTCTGAAAAAATAAAAATAAAAATGGAGTTATCAGTTTTTGAAATATATATATATATATAGTTTTTGTTTTCTTTATATTATTTAAAAAACAATAATTACAGTTTTTCTTAATCGATTTGACACATTTCTCCAAACTCAGGTCACTGTTCTCAAAACAGTTAACACAGTGAGCAGAACACTTTGTAATTGTCCTAAACAGATTATAAGTTTTCATTTGTTTCATTCAAATTACAAATCACATCCATCATTTTCTCAAAACACTGTGCATGGGATTCTCAAATGTTTTCACAATAGTTCATACAGCCAACCAAAAGTTTAATGTATTAAGAAAACACAATTGCAACTCTATTTATTGGTTTTATACAAATTACATAAATATTTGTACCATTTTTCCCAAGAGAAGAGGAAAGGAGAAGGGAAGGGGAGAAGAAAATGTAAGAAAACATGAATAAAGAGGAAGGGGTCTGCAGGGTGGAAGGGGAGGGAGGAGAGGTAGAGGGTACAGACGGGTTTCAAATGATATCAGAGCCACCCTGATTGACCATGTTATAAATCATAGTCTCTCCTTCAGAGACGCTGGCCAGAGAGTTCAGCAAAACCTAAACTGATCTACAGTGGCTTCAATTATCTGCACATTTCAGAGGGAAAACCGGTAAGTTACTCTACCACTCTTGTTATATGACTCTAGTCTAGAGTATTGTCCATTTCTAGTTCTATTATCTACTGTAAAAGTTTATACTTGTTCAATTCTTTTTCAGAATTGAAGTTCGAGAACATTTTGGTGGATGAACAAGAGCATGCCATTGCGGACATGGTGGTTGAAAACCACACCTTCCGCCTCAAAGAAATTCAGCAGAGAGTAATACAGGACAATCAACTATTTCATAATATTCACCAATGCAGTCTTGCCTCAATTGATCGTGTTCAAAGAAGAAATGCCATCCGGATGAAGCAAGTATACAAAGTGCCCTTTGAGAGGAACTCTGATAGAGTGAAGGAGCTGCCATTCCAGTTTGTTCAGCTATGTGAAAGCTATACAATTACTGCACTTTTACTGTATAAATCAAATATATGTATTTCCTTGAGATTATATGTCCATATACTATTACACTCAGGAAAAATTCATTCATCTCTATGTATACTGTAGTGCTATGTTGTGCAATGTTCAGCAACATGTTTTCTTTTTTCCTTTTTAAACTCTAGAGGAGTTGGATAGCAGTGTAACTCATTATGAGTACCTCTATCTTGATGAAGCTGGTTTTAATCTCAACAACAGCAAAAAAAAGGAAACGAGGAAGGAATGTTTAACATAATTCTGTCACGAATTACATTCATGGACTTCCGTTTATTCACCACCAGATGTCACACTTTCCATTACATTGACTCTCGCACTACACAAACTGTTGCATAGCACCCCGGACTACATTTCCCATCATTCTTTGCACAATTTGCACACTGCCCTGATTGCACTCATTGCACACAGCTGTTTCTAATTACCTCATTCACTATATAACACGCACTCTAACCTAATTTCTCTGTTGAGTATTGTTTAGCCTGTACCCCTTTCCGAGTCTCCGTGTTTTCCTTGTTTTGCCTTGCCTGTTTCTGCGGTATCTGATCTTTGCCTGTTTTCCTGTTTTTTTTTCCCTCTCGTCTCGCCCCTGTGATTCTGTCTGCCGATCGGTGACCTACGCTAGCCCTAGGACTATTCTTGTGTTTTGCCCGCCATATACCTGTTTGCCATTGTTTGACCCTGCCTGTTTACCACATCTCTCTAATAAAAGCTTGCAGATGGATCCACACGTCTCACGTCTTGTCAGCCCCGTTACAGAATACTCAGCCAAACAGTTGTCTGTCCTGTCACGGCTATGGAGGCCGTCTGGGAATCCTCATCCTGTCCTGTCACGGTTATGGAGGCCGTTTGTGAACTTTTGTCTTGTCCCGACCAGGGAGGCTGCCCCTGAACGCTCAGTCTTGTCTATCAACCCCAATGTTCTGTCTGTGTTGTCTGTCTCTGCTCTCTCGTTGTTACAGTCTCCGCCATAGTCTCCTGATCGGTGTGGTTCACCAGGGGGGGTTTCCTGTTCTTGTCTGACCCTGCCTGTTTACCACGTCTCTCTAATAAAAGCTTGCAGATGGATCCACACGTCTCACGTCTTGTCAGCCCCGTTACAAATACATTACATTGCACATTTTAGGTAATATAAGCAGACTACATTTTGATTACTTTTAGAATGCATTTGACCTAATTCATTTATCACATTGATAATCATATACCATACTGATATATAATAATAGTAATAAAAAGAGAGAGAAAGAAAATATATTCCATTGATTGTGATTAACATCATGAAAAGCATTAAACATTATGTTGTGTCAAGGCTTTCCAAACTTTTGGGCTTTTGGGGTTTGTAATAGAAACTGCAGGGAGTTTTTGAGTTTAATGAAAAAGACTAATAATTAATTAAATCATAAAAACATTACAAAAAATATTTTAATATAAAAACAATCAAAATAAAATCCCTGCATTACATGTAAATAAGAAATAATGTGAACTTGTGCATTTTAATGTGTTTGAAAGACAAATGATTTTCATAGACATAGTAATACGTTTAAGTATAACCCACTAAGTGATAATCCAATTAAATGAACATGTTCATCAGTAATTGATGCAATGTTGAAATGTTGAGAAAACACTTCTTAAAATTGAAATAATTTTTGTAAATCAGTGGTGAAAGCCTGTGTAATTAAAGCCATCTGACTTTGTGTTAGTGTTGGCTAATGGTAATCATGTAATCTATAAAAAAGTAATATAAATGTCATATAATCTAATTACAAGTACTTTATAATCTGATTACGTATCCAGATTACGTGTAATCAGTTACTACCTAGCACTGTCTACAACACGTTAGTATTCACTGGATAAGACACAGTTAAGCATTCAAAGATTTCCAAACAGGTAGGTATTCACAGAACGAAAAACAGGCAAATTAATACAGTGGACAGTCTCTGAGAAATATAGCATACATTATTTTCCCCAAAACACTTCATAAGCGCATCTGAGATAGCTGAATTGAGAGTTATCCAATTCCAATTTTTATTTTTTTAAAGGGGGGATTTTTGCACTGTACAAACACAACAATCTTCTGCATCCAAATGTAAATGAGCTTCACCTTGACTACAGAGGTCAAATGGACCATATCCAATGACCCATGTACTCAAAGGAAGCCCTTTGCTTCAATGGAAATAACCCAATGTTGTAAATGAGACTGGGGTTCCCTTAAAAAGAGCCTCATGTAAGGGTTGATTCTTCTCCCAGGTGAGATGAAGGTAATGTTGTTAGTTACACTATTTAAATTCGAATAATGTTCAGAGTGCTTTTAAAACCTCTAGCCTTGCTGCTCAGTTTGTATGCAGTTCCAATAATTTAGGACATTAAAGAGACCTTTCTGTTGACTCTGAAAAACACCAGAAGAAAGATGCTCAGGGTTCCTGATCATCTGCATGAACATGCCACAGTGCTACAGGGAGACAGGAAGGACAGCTGATTGTCCTTGCTAAAAATACTTTGTCAATAAGAATGTATTATTATTATTTTTATTATGCCAATAAAGCAAATTAAAACATTAATTGATTGCTCATAAAAATATTCTGTTTATAAGCTAAATATTTATACTATCTATACATAATTCATATTTAAAAAGTAGCAAAATAATACAAAAATAACGTTATCATTGGAGGTTATCAAAGAACTGTGAGCAATATAGGCCTAACAGAAACACGTGGCAACACAGGAGAATGCAAAGCATTTAATAAAAAAAGGAGTAAATGCTAGAT